GTCCATCTACTAGCCTATCTCCTTACCCAGCGGCCCGGTGTGACTGTCTACGTGCTGGGCAGCTATGCTCCGCTCGATCATGGACAGATTTTCCAGAAGTTCATGGAGTACAAGCTGCTTAATGGGGCCCTCACTCCGGAGCGCATTCTGACGGGCATCCAAGTCGTTCCCGGATTCCTGGCCCATGAATCCCACTTTGGCCTCGCTGCCGCCGACTTCCAGCGCCTTGCCATCTCTATCCATGCGATATACCATCTGGCCTCGGAGGTGTCCCTGCTCAAGACATACCATGATCTCAAGCATCTTAACACGACTTCAGCGCTTACCCTCATCGAGCTGGCTAACCTGGGGGCCCGGGGCAGCCGTATTCACTATCTGTCCACCTGGAGTGTTCCCCATCTGCAATCCTGGGAGCAGTCGCAGCGCAATTTCTCCAGCATCCAAGTCGACGAAATCAGTCCCATTCACTTCGCTCCTCCTGCGACCGTTGACAATGGCTACTTCAAGACCCGCTGGGCCACGGAGATGCTCCTCACGCGGGCCGCTGCGCGTGGGTTCCCCGTCACCATCTACCGTTCGTCAGCCATTTCGGGCAACACCGTGACTGGCGTCCCTTCCTCTGACCAGGACATCGTGCGTGGTATGGTTATGGACATGGTGCGTCATGGGGTCGTCCCTCAGGCTGGCACGTCCGATGTTCCTTTCGTTGTCGATTTCATTCCCGTCAACTATCTCGCGGACGTATTGGGCCATCTAACCGCGGTGCACGACACCACTCGACCCGCCGGACTGGAGGTCCTCCACATTACCAACCCCAAGCCCCTCTCGCTTGACCAATTGCCTCGGTTGGCAGCAGCCATTCGAGGTGATGGCCACAGCGCTCGCTCCGTGAGCGTGGAGGGCTGGCTCGAGGCGCTGGAGCAGGCGGTCAGCGAAGATGAGCAGCTGCGTCTCGAGACTTTGCGAAACTATTTCCTCAATGGACACAACATGTTTGCTCTAAATTGCCGCAAGGCAAATGCCTTACTGGCACAGAAGAAGGATCTTGTGGCTTGCCCCCCTGTGGATGAGAATTATTTGAGAGACTTGTGGATGGGGATTGCGTAGAAGCTAGTACTATGTTTGTTTGGATTTGAGTGGTTCATTGATTTTGGGCTCTAAACCTATTTAGTTGTGTCTCCATAGGTCACCTTGACGGGCCTGTTCTTCCTGAAAGGCGTGTTTGCTGTTGTTGCAAATAGTGAAGTAGTGTGTCTAATATGAATGACAAGATCAGTCGTGATGAAATCTTTTGGCATGTCAACCCAAATCCCTAGTCTAGAACGTAGCTCTCCATGTCACCGTGGCTTTCTGATCTCATACATGTAGTCTCTTGACGTCTTCCATTCGAATCTCCACGCTGTATGGGCCTTTGGATAGCACTTCCTGGTTCACGGCCACACTTAGGAAGAGAGACTTTACTGAGTTCAGATTGCATACCGCCGACGTGTCATTTCCTTCAAACAATTGGAAAATGTATAAATCTAGTTTCTACCGCCTTGGATTAGACTAGACCCCTTTGTGAGTGATGTATCCGCGGATGAGTAGACCTGCCAAGTTACGACTAGGCTAACGGGAGCGGACCGAAGGCAACCTTGAATCTCTCGTCATGTAACCCTGATCCACCTCATCCTCTCCATGGAACAAGTACTGAGGATCCGCTAGCACAACCTCCAACTCGTCCCTGACGCCATGACTTGTTGGAAAGTCCGTGGGTAAGCTTAGTCCAGAAGTCGAACGACTTCAATATCAAGTTTGAGCAAGACCTGCTTCTCCACGTTCCTCTCCGCCACTGGCGCGCCAACCGGCGAGTTACATTTAGACTTCTGCAGTCTATACTCTATGGGCCCGCCTAGACATTTTAAGTGACCAGGCAATGGTAGTTATGGCCTACTGATGACAGCCTTGATTTGCCAAACAACGTGTCGCCAACACTCTCATTGCCATCCAGCTTGGCGAGTCTCCATCGCAGACAGTATGCTATTCTGGTCCGGATGGAGCCTTGACGCGATATCCAGCTGGCTGTGAGATCGTCATTGAGTCCAATTGTTTCACTCCCTATCCGTCATGACTGTTGCCATGACTTTCATCAGATAGTATGTATATAGAGGGCCTTCGGAAGGATGCTTTTAGATCACTGAGTTAGCCATTCGAGCCAAAATTCGAATCCGCCCTGAAGCAAGATGTGGTCCCATCTGCAGTCTGCCGTCCTTTTCTCAATCTGCCTCAGTCCGGCGGTGGCCACCCCGTATATCTACCACCGCCGGCCGGTCTTTCAGGAGTACCTGGGCACCGAGACGGATCTAAACCCACCCAAGCCTAGTGACGCATATGACTACGTGGTAGTTGGCGGCGGAGTAACTGGCCTCATCGCAGCCGGCCGCCTGGCTGAACATTACAATGTGGCTGTCGTGGAGCGGGGCGGATATTATGAGAAGATGACAGGCAACCTGAGTCAAGTCCCGGGATACACAGAACTCTTTGACAACAGCAACACTCCTCCCCGCGATGATGTGGAATACTGGTGGGAGGTCCCCGGGACGCCGGTATGAGAATTGACCCTTCTCCCCAGCCCCAATCTCTTCTTTCCATTATACAGCAGAGCACTGACTCCTCATTGTATAGGAAACCAATAACCGCGCCTTGAACTTCACTGGTGGAAAGATGGTCAGTAATCTCCTCGGCGATGCCATTACTTCTATGAACTGTTACAATATTGATATGACTGGTGAGATAGATGGGTGGCAGTCATGCCTTCTCCTATTTTGGTTACCTGCGTCCAACCTACGGAGCCATGCAAAAATGGGCCGATGAGGTTGGGGATCAGTCCTGGACCTACCCCAACACAGAGGAATATTTCGACAAGTCCATCAAGTTTACTCCTCCTAATTCCACCACGCGCTTGGCCAATGCTACACCCGAGTATGACCCCAGCCTCAAGGGCACTGGGCCTCTAGAGATTACCTACCCGCGCTGGGTGCACCCCTTCAGCACTTGGTTGGCCAAGGCCTTCGATGCTCTGGGAGTCAAGCATACCCTGAGTTATGCCAATGGCGAGCTTTTTGGCTCCAGTTGGATCCTAGACACCATCAACAGCACCGACGGCACCCGGAGCACCTCCTGGACAGCCTACGTCAAGAATGCCCCGCCTTCAAAGAAGAAGCTCGATATCTTCAGCTTCACCCTCGCGGAAAAGATCCAGTTCGATGGGACCAAGGCCACGGGAGTGGCCGTCACCCGCGAAATTTCTCCACCGTCCGGCGGTCCCCCGTCAATTGAACAATTCACCATCGAGACGAATAACGAAGTGGTTTTGGCTGGCGGTGGTGTCCTCTCCCCGCAGCTCCTCATGGTCTCGGGTGTTGGGCCAGAGAAACAATTGCAGGAGTTGAACATAACTCCAGTCCTGAAAAATGATGCGGTGGGCCAGAACATGCACGATCACATTGTCTTCCCAGTCGCCTATCGGGTGAAAACACCAACCAGCTCAGTTCTGTTGGATGATGAGAAACGCTGGCACGAAGAAGATCTGTTCAAAGAGAACGTCACCGGCATGCTGACCAATCCTGGTCCCGACTTTGGAGGTATTGTGGACATTCCCAGCGATCTGCGAAACTTCTCGCTGTCAACCAAAGCAGGTACGTGCTAGATGCTCTTGCTTTCCATCACACATTATATGGGTATACTGACGCAGCTTTCGAAGAGCTGGCCGGCTTGCCTAAGGACTGGCCCGAACTTATTATCGTTTCCTTCCCGCTGGGTCATGACTACCCAGACGATGGCTACAACTATGCCTCCCTGATGGGCGTTCCTATGACTTCCATGTCAGTGGGAAACATCACTCTCAACTCCACCAAGATGAGTGATAAGCCTATTGTGCGCCCGCACTGGCTCACCAGCACGACCGATCTGGAAGTGTCGATTGCATCGCTCAAATACATGCGTCGGGTTTTTGAAAACCCAGCCATGGAGCCCATCATTATCGGCGATGAGTTTGCTCCGGGCCCTGAAGCCGCCACCTGGGCTGAAGTTGAGCATGCCTTGAAGAACAGCTTCCGTTCGATGCATCACCCGGCGGCCACCCTGCGCATGGGTCGCGAGGATGACCCGAACGCCGTCGTGGATAGTCGGGGTTCAATCATGGGACTAGACAACGGTAGGTCACTACTACTATCTTTTCTTTTCTTCTTCTGCGATAATCAGGTGAAAGCGGTTGGCTAATTTGTCTACTTCTCTTCAGTCCGAGTTGTCGATCCTTCAGCATTCCCTTTCCTGCCCCCTGGTCTGCCTCTTGCCCCTGCCTGTAAGTTTGCCTTTTATATACCAACTACCAATAAGACCTGTGATACTAACGTATTCAGTCATGTTCGCCGAAAAGATCACCGATAACATCATCAACGACCAGAAGAGTGGAAAGAAGAAGGGCCACGATGAGCTCCGCACGGACTTGTAGATGATTAGGCTTCTGATATAGCCATTGTATATGGGAATTGACATATGCTTGCTACGGGAACTATCAACAAACTACATGGCCTTATTGCCATTGGGTATCTTTCCTCGCATCCCCTGTTGTAGGATAAATGCTTGACCGGAATAATACTATGGCCGACCTTCTTAACATAAGTCCATGCTATATAAGTTTGAGATTTTCTTCCTCCTTATTCTTGGTGCGATCTATAAAAGGTAAGGTATTCGGAAGCTATGGTTGTTAATCAGTCCTCCAGTATCTGCACAATCCTATCGTTCCGTTCTGCCTTTCCGGAGCCAGCGCACTTTTTTTCCAGAGTACGAGAACACCCTGACCCTTCCCGTTGCAAGTAATTGACGGACTACGTCTCGATGGCCGTTTACCACGGCTCGAGACAAGGGCGTATACCCAGATGAATCTTTTGACCCAGGATCGACTTTTCCTGTAGACAAAAGCATGTTCACAATAGCTGTATGCCCGTGAGAGGCGGCGTGGGCAAGAGGTGTCGCTCCCTGTAAGTTCTTGGCATCGACATCAATGCCTTCTGTCGAGAGTAGGTGTCTGGCAATTTCTGTGTAGCCTCCAGATGCAGCGTAAGCAAGTGCTGTCATCCCATCTCCTAAGCACTTCGTATTCGGGTCAGCCTTCCCCGTAGCTAGCACCTTATCCACAAGAGCTTTATGGCCAACCCATGCAGCGTAGAGCAGTACGGCTTCTGCGCACGACCTAGTCAAGCTGGGGAAAGAACCATCCATAGCAATTAGTGGCTCTACGCCTTTACTCCACCTGCTAACTGCAGCATATTGGAGCACGCTGTTCCAATCTTCGTCTGATAGGGCACCCTGGCGGTGCTAGAAAAAGATCAATTTAGCAGGAAATCATATGCGTATAAGCGCCTTGCAAGTTGGAGAGAAGGTATAACGGAAGGTAAGTAATACATACATTCAAACGGCTTATATCCAAATTCGGATTGGCCATAGTGTCATTTACGTGAGCGAATGCCAATGTCAACGGTTCCTTGTCACCTCTCTCCAGCCTGTTGGCACTATCAGACTGGATCTTTGACACTCGATTGGACTTGTTACGTTCGATGTCGTAGTATGACGAGGTAGTGAGATCGACGCGGTGCCTCGTTATCAGCCGACTGAACATGGTCTCCCGTTCGTACTTGATGGCATAGTGTACTGGAGTTTGTCCAGACTTGTTCTTAACACTCGAAGCGATATTATCCGCAGTAAGAAGCTTACTGAACATGCCGTTCTGGTCGAATCGGATTGTGTAGTGTAAAGGCGTGTCCCCGTCTCTATCAGGCGCATTCAGATCAATCTCACGCATGGTCAAGATTCGGTTGAACATGAATTCGCGGCCGTACTGGATCACGTAATGTAGACACTGCTTCCCATCTTTGTCTGGTAAATTGAGGTCAACACGGTTATTTGTCAATAAGTTCGTGAACATGGCTTGTCGATCAAACTTGATGGTGCAATGAAGCGCCATTTCGATACAAGCGCTAGGGGCAGCTGAAACGTCTTGCAGCTGGTTTTGGTTGATAATATCGAGAAATTCCATAATGTCATTCCTGACAGCATAGAAAACCAGAAAGTCAAGGTCACGCCTGCTCGGTATATAACCACATGGCTTGTCTTTACATATCAACCGAAATAAATTCGATAGGTCGTATTTCGCAACGATATAAAGAAGACATGCAGACTCTGTGTGCCGACGGGATTTGTACCTCTCGAAAGCGTTGCTGCAACGCTTCCAGCGGGGGAAATTGAAGTTGCCAAGAAAGCATCCCTGGCGGATGCCACCCCTTTCTGCGGCCTCAGAGTGTTGAAGGACGTTGCGCACCGCATATTCGAGAAATGGAACTCTTCGAGAGGCAGAGTCCCACAAGGCCTTGAGCTCGTCCCTGGAAGCAGTTGCAATATACTCCTCATCTGCAATGTGAGTGCTAGCTTTGGCAAGGAGGGTATTGTTGCAACACTGCTTCAGTCGATTATGACTTGAAGCCTCAAAGTTCCCTTGGTGCTCAGGCCATAGTTGGCGCAGTCCATTCTCTTTCAGCAGGAAGTCTCTGACCGACTCATGGATGAATTGAACTGTCTTTGCTTTTGACTTGGTTGTTTCAGCCAGTCCTTTGGAGGTGCTCAGAATGAATCGATCGATGTCCTGCTCAGTTATGTCTTCAGGGTCCCAGGCCTCCGCTAAATTGTCAGGGTCTGCGGAAAGAATGGCAAAATAGAGCTCCTCTCGCTTGAGGGGTCGTCTAGCGAATAGTATCCATTGTATACTCAATAAGAGGTCTTCCATGTTCACAGTATCCCTGGTGAGTATGTCTTTGAAAAGATCACCAAGTTTGGCTGGAATTTCACGAAGTCTGTTACGAAGGGCATGCAAGCGACCGCGCTGGAATTCGCGGTTTAGGATCTGTACAACAAGCACCATCCATAAGAAGATCCCAGAGGCTTTCGCCTGTATCTCGCATCTAATATCGTCGGCTTGCTTACTGCGCCCAATTTTCAGCTCGCTGCGAAGGTATCGAGTAATATCATCAGCGTGACCTTCTTGGTCCTCAAGTATTAGTTCCAGCCCATTGTCGATGGCAATGTGAGGGTAGTGACGGCTTGAGAAGCAGACATGAAATTGAACGCTTGATGAAATTGCATGCTCTCCGAGGGATTGGATGAAATCAACCATGGTGCGGACCTCTTCCTCTTCGCATTCGTCCAGGGCATCAATGAAGCAGATAACACGCCGACCGCTAAGCAGTGAGATGGACTTGCGAAGGATGTGCTGAAGTATCTCATGACCCCAAGGATACTTCTCGTCCCAGCGCTTAGGGTCAAGTTCGTCCAGAAGAGTTTGGAGTTCTGGAAGCTTTTCAAGCAATTGTACCAGCAAGGATCGGTACATTCCTAATGTTGATTTTTCCAAATCATCCCCTCTGGCATTGAAGAAGAATGAGACGACCTTGGTGTCTGCATCCATTGTTGCATCGGCCTGCAGGAACGCGAACTTCATCATGGTGGATTTACCACTCCCTGCCTTACCCTTGATCCAGAGGAAGCCACGGTGCTCGGGGAAATGATTGCTGTCCAGCCAGTCCACATACTCCTGCTTCTCAAGAAGCCACTTGCAGGTTTTCGCATGCGCGGGCTTTATTGTAGCTTGCCGACTCTCGAGTTGATCGAATCGCAGAGCATCCATCATTGATGCACGGTGCTGGACAGCCGTGATTGCCCCGGAAACAGCAGGGTCAGGGATAGGCCCAGGGCCGCAGGCACCGATCGTAGCAAGCAGCCGCTTTGCATATGCAGCCGCGGTCGCAGCCGCATAGCCCTGCCAGTCCTTGTTTTTGTGCGAGTCCGAGTAGTCCGAAACACCTCGAATGACAAGACATGGAAAGTTGTCCATTAGCCCGGCTGCTTCCATTTCGAAACAAAGGATATTGAGCTCCGCTGTCAATCGGTCGCGCGTTTGTGCATGCTTGATGACCTGGTTTCCGGATGCGATCAGGCCGTAATGAACAACCGGCCGATCGGAGCTGCGTGTCGACCGGCTCACCAGTTTTTCACGGTCGCAAAATTCGCATGTCGGTCCCGCTGGGTCATGTTCATAGTCCGGAGCAAAGAGGAGGTCCCTCTGACAGCCCGGGGACGTGAATGTCTCCGCCATTTGCGGATTACGCGCCAACATCTGCGACATCAGGACGGGTATCTGGCTGCCATTGCGGAGGTCCGCCGCCCGAAGGTTGCTGACTGCCGTCAGAAGGGAAGTGGATGGTTTGTTTAGAGTGCCTGTTCGTTCGAAGTGCCCTTGTGCGATGGTCTTGCCATAGTCGTACTGCACCACGCCCTCGAAACGGGGGGTGGGGATGCTAACCACGACATCCCCAAGCCGAATATCCGTTGAGGCGGAAGGCGCCCCTCCTCCGACCCCAACCATAAGTAGATGGCGGATCGATCTAAAACTGATGAACATGTTGCTGGCGACAGTGGCTGCCGATGTGGTGCCGTAGACACCGGCGGGGAGACAAGCGATCACGATATTGTGACGGCCGATGGACCCGAGGGTATACGAGTTGCTGTCGCGCGGGTGGATGGGCAAGGCTGGATGGATCTCATCCAGCATGGCTGTTGCTGCTGCTGCCTCGATGGCAAGAGCACATACCCAGCCGATGGTGTAGTCATGGTGGGAAAGTTGCTGGGGATTGTGTCCGGGGTCGAGTTTTCGTCGCTTCGGGGGTGGTTGTTGATGCTCCATGCGAGATCAAATGTAGAGAAAGTTCTGTACAGGTGGTGGAAAATTGGGAAAGAGCGATCAGTTATAGCGCCCAAAATGCCCGATCAGCTGAGCTTGCAGCCTCGCCAGGCTCGGTGGCGTGGCTGTGTATGCATGCGTCCCCTGCGTTCAAACATACGAAAAACTTGCCATTAGCTCGCATAAGTTGTCTAATGCAGACGCTTCTTTATGCTCGGACATCCAGCACCGCCGTACCCTTTTAGTATTTGATTAATGATGCATGGGGCTGAGTGAATACTGATAAATATTGACGAGCAATATCATATCCCATTCATTCAAACCACAATATAAATTCAACACACTCTCTAACTCGGTCAGATCCGCTCAGCCTCGACCACTCCCAGTCCATCGCCAGCGCGCGTCCAAAATTTATTCACTCGCAATCCCACCGAGTCCAGCAACCGCGTCCACTGCTGCGTCGTCCGTTCCAGTCCCGAGCAAAACACCATCACCGCCACGTCTGTCATGCCGTGAATCGCCGAAGCATTCTGGTCGGGTACAATGTATTCTTCCATGATAAGCTTGGAGTAGCCCGGCTCCATCGCTTCCACGACATAGTTGAGGATGATCCAGGCTTTCTCATCGGACCAATCGTGCATGACATTCTTGAAGTAGTAGACACGAGCACCTGCATACCCTCGTCAGGTCACTGGTCGTTTTCAAGCACACTGAAAAAAGACGAAGAATCTCACCTTTGACGGGCTGCTGCTCCGTGAAGAAATTGTACTTGACGGGGACAATGCTGGCACCTTCCAGGTCCTGCGCCCCTCTCACCTCGTCGATCACCACCGGCAGATCCTCCAACACCAACTTCCCTGGTGCATTGGGAAACCGTTTCTTGAATCCCAGAAGGTCATGGCCTCGGCCACCACCAATGTCCACAATCAAAGCCCGATCGGGGTTGCTGTCAGCATCGGCCAATACCCGATCTCGCACAGGGAACCAGTCCGCCCAGTGCGGGCGATCCGCACGCTGGCCTTCCATAAAATTGTTGAACCGAGCTAGGGCTTCGGGATTCTGGCAGAGCCACATAAAACCATCTTCTTTCATGTTGTTCGTGTACTGTAGGGGCGCAAACAGAGGATCTTCAGGGTTACGGTAGTTGGTGACTTGAAGGTATTCTGGGGTCTTCTGGATGGTGGGAAGGAATTCGCAGAACCTGATGCAAGCCTGCGTATTAGTGACCGTCACGAACAACTGACTTTCCCTTCCCCGTATAGCTACTTACAAGGACTCCACCACTCCAACAGACGTTCGGTTGATCATCTCCTTGGTCACTGCGGTCGGCGGATACTTACCGGGGACTGGCTCAGCCGCAAAGCCGAATGCCACGCAGAGACGCATCATTCGCTCTAGTATAGTTCGAGTTTGAGCAGTCAGCACTCAAAGCTAGTCGGCCAATGCATAGTATGAGTCTCAGACATACCGACTAGGAGGGGATCCGCAGGCTTCAACGCTGCAAGCTCGCTCACGGGGACTGGGCTCGTCGCGTTGGCCAAAATAGTGAACACCTTTAAATCATGAGCGACCTTCACAGCCATCAGAGCTGTCGGCTTTTTCAGCATTAGCATAAGCGGCCATCTGATCAGGGTCCACGGACTCACCATATATGCTAGTTTCAGAATTGCATCGCGAGGTTTCTCCAATGCTCTCGCCAGCTGGGTTACCTTCTCGAGAGCATCGATCCGGTTATATTCAGTTCCATCGGCCTGAAAAGCTTCCAGCGACGACTGGGCATCTTTCCAAACACTCTGGAGGAAATCTGTGTTCATCGTGTAAAGAAATTGTGCTCTGAGATGGCGGGAAATAGCGTGGGAAGAACGGGCATCGACAACCCAAGACCCGCCCTCCTTTTATAATCCTTCGCCTCCCTGTTGCGGGGAGCGCTTGTCCAAGGCTTCAAACATAGCGGGGGGTAGTGAGAATAGTAGGTCCAGTCCGGGAGGATTTCCAACTGGCAGGTGGGTGGCATCCTGTAGCGTTCATCGCCAATTTGAACTAGTCCTGAGGTGACCTGGCTGAACACCACTAAGACGGTTCGTTCTGTCAGGCTGTCAACAGTTTTGGGACCCGCTCCGAAGATAGTGACAGGTGGTTAAGCTCATTGGAACCAGTGATCATGTGCAATTCCTTCCACTTCGTCGATCACGTAACTAGTGAGTACCAACACCGTTTAAGAAGGCATACGCCTCGACCGTTTAACAGACAGCAGTGGGGAAGAAGATGTATCGCTATGTCTCTAATGTCTCGTACCTGGTATGGAGCATTGCCCCGTCACTGGTCTTCCCTCGTTTGCTGCCCCAATTCGGCTCCACCACCCGCAATTCCGCATCTTTGCGCAGCACCTCCTGACGTTCTGAGCTTCGCGGTGGAAGAGAAGATTCGTCGACAAGGTTATGATCGACACTCCTACCAGATAGTCGTGCAGTAGTATCCTTTACCGGTTAACTTTAACGCAATCTTGATACGAGGATGATGAAATAAGACATTGGGATGTACGTGGAACAGAGCTTATGCAGGGGTCCGCAAAGAGAGCACTCGAAGGAAGGGGGGAGAAAAAATAACATAATACAAAATAACTATATCCAATGACCTGTTCAGCGGAGAAGTTTTGAAGGGAAAAAAGAAGAGACTATGTTTTTAGTGTCAATCCTTCGCTGACTACGATACGGTGTCGATAGTTGACTAGTTAAACAGCACCTGGGAACCTATATCAACACCCATAGTTTATAGTAGGTCTGTCCTTTTTCGGTCCATCTCCCAGTCTTCCTTGATATCTCAGCCTCTCTCCCATTCAACCGTCCTCGTCTAGTAGGAAATTGGTCCATGCATCAACTGTGGTGGGCAACATTTGACGGTCCGCTGGGGAGAGATGCTTCCGCGGCTCTCGTGGGTCTCATTTTCCTCTTCAGGGCCAAGTCCGATATGGGTCAGCCGCTGTGCGGATCCCGCTCCTCACACGGGACGACAATTGATACTGGAGCCTTAAATTTCTCTGTGGAGAATGTCCCGGACTATGATTCCGATTGGTAAATTAAACGTCGATCGCAGGCAGCGATGCCGTGTCGGGGGTGACGCATGGATTTAACGCCCCAATCTTATTTGTCACTAAGAAAAATCTATATCCAGCGGAGGGCTCAGACCACGGAACCTTATGTTAATATGCTTCTTTTTTGGAGGCGGAACGAGTGGGCAAGCCCACGTTGGAGCCGCCTGTCAACTGGCTCAAACATCTGAATGCTCTTTCTGAGTTCCTACAGCTTGGATCTAGTACGTACGCTTGGGGTCCACTGTTGGCCTCAGCTTTCTACCCCCTCGACGCAAAGAGCGTACGGTGCTCCTGCCCACTACTCGGGTTTTCTAGATCCGTCCAAGAATTGGGAGGATTTTGTGGTTTATGCTGAGCTCGATTTTGGAGCTGTCCTGACGCCTGCCACGTCCTCCCCATGGCACGGCACGTCCCTCATCCTGTCCGATGAGGCGTGAGAACCTACAAGGTTTGGCTGACTCCGGCCGGTGGCCATTTGAGTTAGGCTTAATTTGACTTCTTCCATGGTTGTAGAACTACTAGTCGGGTTCTGCTATGTATGATTCGCATTCTTTTAGCAGCAGCGAGAGAGGGGGAGAGCGATCTGCGGCTTTCCGAAACCGGATCCATTGACGAGATCGGCCGCAGATGGGCGTAGATAGCCTCTTTGTCTGGCAATGGAAGGCTAGTGCTAAATTTTTTGCTTTAGCGTGTGTTGGATTTCCTCTCCACTCCAGCTTCACCAATCTAGTTATGGGAATTATGAGCGGGCTTTCATTTTCCTTGCTGGGTAACCGATAGTCTGCTATGTTTGTGTCACTGCATGTAAAGTGCAGAGCGACGGTCATTGTCGCCATATCCTTCCCTTGACTGCTTCTCCCCTTTTCTGGCCGTATGGTAAGGGCTTCAACCATGTCGCGACTTTCTGATACAACACTGTTTCCGTAACCCCGACCGTTATCTCATCCCGTGGTTCTTTTCAACTTTCACTCAATACACACGAGTCCCATTGCGTGTGGTGATCTTTTGTCGAAGAATGGGCTACAATCTTACCGCAGAGATGTTCAGCGAATGGGCAATAGGGCTGGTTGTTATTGCAATTCGATTGTACACGCGCTTCTCCGTGGATCGTGGTATGTTCCGCTGGGACGATGTGTGTCTGGTGCTTGGAACGGTAGGTTTTCAGAGACCAGTATTCCTTTTGCGGTGAAACGCGGGCTAATCAGCATCAGCTTTTCTGGACTCTCCTTGTTGTATTCTTATATCTGTGCACTGGTAAGCTTACTCGATTCGTACCTTAATTGGTTGACACTTTCATTGATACTTCATGCTTAGCTGTCTATGGCAGCAATATAGGCCTCAATGCCACCACTGCCGCTGAGGTACCGGATGATCAGGTCCCGTCGTTAACCAAAGGCTCAATCTATGCGTTTCTTGCCTGGGTTTCGTATATTCTCATGGTGTGGTCTTTCAAGGGAGTGCTTGTGTTTCTCTACAACAGACTCACGTAAGCATCAAGCTTAGGTTCATTGCTTCAGGATAGGGATAGGCATAAGTCTGACAGGTTATAGGATCGGTCTTTCGCAACACCGGCTAGCCTTGGCTGTGGGCGCTTTCACAATGTGCACATTTGTCACCTCACTGCTCTTCGACCTTCTTATGTGCAGGCCAATCGAGAAAAATTGGCAGGTCAAGCCATATGCAGGAAGTTAGTATCATGCCTTGCAGATTATCCTCCTCTACTAAGACAATCCAAGACAACTGCACTGTGCGCCCATTGAACTACATCGTCATTGAAGTCTTAAGCATCTTGTAAGTGCGGTATTCTTCCACGATCAGTCATGCTTGCTCACCTATTGCATCAGAACCGATCTCTGTATCATGTGCGTCCCAATTCCACTAATTATCGTCGCCAAAATCCCGACGTCTCAGAAGTGGATCCTCACGGGTCTGTTTTCCTCCGGCATCTTCGTCATGATCGCTGCCGCTCTTCGAGCATACTACTCCGTCAAAGACCTCTCGACTCTCGCTACAGCTTTGGGCTGGGCGTCACGGCAGGCCTTTGTCTCAGCCATCATTGTCTGCGCCCCGGGAATCAAGCCTCTCCTCTCTCACTTTTCCTGGTTTGCATCCTACAGTTCTTCCCGCGGATACGATAAAAAGGACCTAAGCCGAACGACCTTTTTCAACTCGAAAAGTGGGGGTCGAGATGTTACGATGGTCAGCACCTGTGAGCCTCAGCCGTACGAGCTCTCGTCTATGGGCTGGCCAAAGAAACGACAAAATTCGTCGGGAGAGAGCCAAGAACATATTATGGATGTCCTGCCGGCACTACAACAGGGCTGCGCGGGCGACTTCGAACGAAACATGGGCATTATGATCACGACAGATGTGACTCTTGCGCATGAAGAAGCCTCTCCTGAAGATCTGCACAATGTATCCACCACACCTCCATATGGGCACTGAAGCCAGTGGCTGTATACGGAGCTTGGGTGTAACATGATCATGCTCAGCATTTAAAATGGCGTCATTTAAAGGCGATATTCTTTCCCATCTTGTGTACACGAATGACCCATGTTTGGCCGACACGGCTCTTCTTTGGTGTCCCCAGCGAATTGCCATGTTTGAGGTCCTGTTCTATTATGACCATATTAATTAATGCTTCATACATCACGATATTTTGATAGATCTACGTCACCTACTATGCAAGATGCGTTACTGTGAATGCACAACTCCTTGTGTTGCCTCCATCCTAGCACCAGCATTATGGCTACAGGCTTCTCTTCTTAACCCAGAAAAGGGGCTGCCACACGAATGCCAGTTCGTTCAATATGTAAGTTTTCTGAGAATCCCAAGCTTCCATTTCCAAATTTCTGGTAGATAATGCGTCAATAACAGACCGACACCCTCGGAAAAAAGCACCCCGCAACAACTGTCGTACGAGGCATGACCAACTTCATAATTATGTGTGCTCATGACAGCAACCCAATCAAAAAGTGCCATAATGACATCATAGCCATAAGAAATTGTGCCATCATGTGCTACTTCACGAGCTCATCTCTTTCCGGGCGTGGACTGCTGGCCACTTTGGTGCGTTCCCGATGACGGGCCCTGAGAGGAACGGGTGCTGGATGCTGCAGCGTTGGCATTGCGATCGGCAGCTCCTTGAGCTCGAGCAGCGAAGCCACCAGAGCTCATATCTTTTCCACCTTGGGCCTGTAGCTTTGTGAGCTTGTAATCTATGCCAACATATAGCACCTGCTTACTTGGGTGGACTGGATGCGGGAAGCATCCGACTTGCTCATCTGGTTGGAAGGCATGTTGATATAACAGCGACTGGTTCCTGGTATACTGGGATTTGTTTTGGAATGGATCTCTGGTGCGCTGGGAGTGCTTTCAAGAAGATCTTCAACCCCTCATATATGCTACGCATATTTTTCACATGTCTGTTCTACGGGTGTAGTATTGCTTATTCCTTCCCCGTCTGTAACCATTCCGGTGCCATTTTCCATCCAGCCACTACAGCTCTACATCGTCTTCTATAACCCAGCTAGCCCTGTTCATTGGTTGGGACACACCCGGAGTCCCTGGAGTCTAGACCTTGCCCTTCGCTATACTCACGGCTCGCATGGCCGCATTTTGCTTGCTGAGAAGGAGGATGCAACTACCTTGTAGAATCCTTAGTGCTTTGGTCTTTGTGACCCTCCTATCTGCACTACCTCAAGTATTTCACTGACCACCCTACTTTGCCTTCTGTTGCACTGGAAGGGCCCCTAGACCGTGCCAGGAAGCCAGCCCTTTCACAGAAACAGTCAGCACTTCTGTGCGGCCCTAGGGTCAGGTTTCGTCTATCATCACCACGGTACAGCTGACGATATGATAAACGCGATTCTTTGCAGCTTGTGGCCATACATGGTCAACCAGCGGGCCGGCACGCCATCGTTTGCGTGAAGTTCAATTGAGACTCAGGTGGCGATTCCGACCATCGAAACTTCTTGTTTACTGAAATCGAGCTCCAGATATCCGTCGAATCTGGGCGAATGTGCGAGACCAATGCATGTTGGGAAATTTGGAAGGGATGATTGCTTCACCATGACGAAAGCGACCGACGACAGCTTGCAGTGGCACCGTGTAGCTTGTAGCTTGTTGCTTGTAGGTCGTAAGTTTTGTACCACAGAAGGGATGCACGCCAGTGGAATAATCTGGAAACGAGCGGGGAATGCGTTGGCTTGACAGCTTCTCCCGGGCGATGACCAGCAGCAGCACACGGTGTGTGGATAGTGGTTAGAATGAATCCAGACTCCAACCCTCCCTTCCTTGTGGCGGGTGGCAAACCGGGTGGTTATCACGTGACTGTGCGTCGAACCCGCCAGAAGCGTCCGGGGGTGCCTGGGGCCTTCCCGCTGTCTCTGGCGGGCACTAACCATCCTGGGCTACTGGTGCCAACGATCGTTCACGGAGCTTCCAGCTTCCTCCAGCAGCTACCCCTACGAGCTGGTACCTGCCTCTACCAGTCACCATCATGGGGTCCAAAAGCTATATAAGGCCCTTCGAGGTCTCTTCCAGTCGATCCTCATCATCGCAACAGACATCAAGCATCTACTACTACTACAAATACAACTCTCGCAACCACCTTCCTAATCGCAACTACATCTAACACTACTACTATCATAACAAATCTACCTACCACAATGTCTCTCTTCCGAACCATCCCTACTGCTGGCGACTTCGCCCCTCTCTTCCGCCTGCTGGACGACTATGATCTCCACCGCTCCGGCCAAGGCTCCTCGGTGACTTCTGCTCGCACCTTTGCGCCTCGCTTCGACGTCCGCGAGACCTCGGATGGCTACCACCTCGATGGTGAGCTGCCCGGCATCGCCCAGAAGGACGTCGACATTGAGTTCTCCGACCCTCAGACTCTCGTGATCAAGGGTCGCACCGAGCGCGAATACCACTCCTCGGACAATGACGAGGCTCAGAACACCCCTGCCCCGGAGAACGCCAACAACAACAACCAGGGTGAGGGCAGCGCTGTCGTCCCCTCGGGCGATAAGCAAGTCTCGAAGAACAAATCCAAGACCAAGCATCACTACTGGGTCAGCGAGCGCTCCGTTGGCGAGTTCCACCGCACCTTCTCCTTCCCTACTCGCGTCGACCAGGATGCTGTCAAGGCTTCCTTGAAGAATGGCATCCTGTCCATCTTCGTGCCAAAGGCGGCTGCTCCTTCTTCGAAGAAGATTACCATCGAGTAAGAAGTGATTGGTGGTGCGACGAATAACGACTTGATGATGGGTTTCGAAATTGTTCCATAGCGTGTGATGTTTTTACTCTGTTGTCTTCATTTCCTTTGTATCTTATCCGAGCCAGAATGCTGGGGGAGTAGTGTCTAATAGTTGAGGTGTGCATTGTCAGTCGTTGCTGGGTTGTCACTCCTTTTTATTATTGTATCCTAGTAATACTATACATTATTTGATGGTTTGAATTCTCTCTTTCGCTCCATTTGTAATGACTCCCGGGTAGAAGTAACCACTAGACTTGATAATCGAACATCGCAATACGTTTTGAGGTTATGAAGCACTAGTCATGAGCCTCGTACATAGATCACTCCTATGGTTCTCATACTGCTGTCGCCAAGGCCCGGTGTCGACCCACATGTTGCATATGCTACCATTGCGGCGAACAAACGCAGCCACTTACCTTTTGCGCCCGGCGCTGCTACTGGTAAACCCTATATTGAATGACACGATGAATGGCGTAAATAAGTAGAGTGACTTGGGAGTAGTTGCAGTCTGTTGTAGGGTACTTCAACCTACAATGATTGGTCGTAATTATATATATCTCCATGGCACATCCCGAACGAAAAGCAAAAAGAACCAAATGTGCAAATTGCAGCGAAAATACCAGATCACAGTCAAAAATGGCCTCCAAATAGTTTAAAAATGTCAAATAATACTCGAGGCATGTGGTTTTTATCGGAATACCTTGAACAGCAGCTTGATTTACAGCTAATGATCTAGTGCTTTACCGGTAGGTTATGTAGCAAGAAATAGACACACGTAATATCTCCAATCCTCGATGGTCTAACGGTCATGATTTCCGCTTGTCAATCCCTTTCGGGAACAAGCGCGGGAGACCTGGGTTCGACTCCCAGTCGGGGAGAATTCTTTTTGTTTTTGTTTCATTTTTCCCCAGGCTCGATCCCGTGCTCTCTTATCTTCCGATTTCCGAGTTCGCCCGATCGCGCCACATTCGATTTTATCTCTAAGCGCCATGTGTGATTATTCTTATTATTCATTTCTTTTTGTCTTAAAATCTTTTTTCCTTTTCCAATAGTAGTATAGACCACGTTTGCTATTTTTCATGATTAGGCCTCTTCATCCTGGTCCTAAGAGATCGCAACGCTCATTATTGAAGGTAGTGAACTAGCCCTGTATACTGAAGCGATACTACCATTACTACGAAAGAACGGAAACTCCTGTTGAAGACTCAAAACATTGAGTTCATTCAAGAATGCTTGTCAACAGCTGCCACTAATCATAATATCCCAAAACGCAGGCCACGATGACCTATTTGCACGGGGATACTCCTGCCATATGAATCTGGGTAGCCAGAACCCAGCCTCAATGGCAATGCCCACCATCCAAGGCGACGTCGCATCTCCAAATAACCCTCTAGTTTTGCGACCAGCAGCAATGTACATGACTGCCACTACTATAGCAAAACTGCCGATCATCTCAGCAACACATGCATCGCGTATCGAAATCCCTCCAGGATTGATGATACACCCCATATTTAGCCCTGTGCTACCATATGCTTCATGCACAGCCCACACTGCCAATGCACTTCCAATGATCTGCCCCCCAATGTACATAGCAGCCCGTGATAAGGACACTCGGCGAAGAAAGTACGCAGCCAATGTAATAGTCGGATTGACATAGCCGCCAGTCGAGCGCGCAAAAGTAGAGATGATCAAAGGGAGGAGGCACACATTGACGATACTCGCAGGTAAGAAGCGAGCCCAATTGTAGTTGTCCATGCTGAGGTGGGAGAGGTTACTGATATCGTCTCGATCTCTGGATGCTGGTGCAATCGCCACCCATGTCAACATGAACGTGTACATCATGCTGGCTGTACCCCTGGTTTAGCGCTCCATACAACCGTAATCAGATCAATTTCTGGGTCACCATCTTACCAACACATTCTAGTAAGGTGCACTTCCACATAGTGACGTCCGCCAAGCACTTCCAGTCTGACAGGTCTGTACCTGGCTGGGTAGTACTTCGATAGCCATCGCCACGGCTCTGAGGGAAGCGGGCCACAGGTGCGATGCCGTGCGCTGGCTTCTCGCGACAGCCACTCTTCTCCATCTCATATTTCATACTGTCGAAAGAGCAGGAATGTAACCATGCACATGGTAAAAGTGCCAAGTTCGACAGTAACTGAAGTATGAAGTTGTTGTGGTTTGCTCGGCGGCCGGCGACTGCCGACCCGAGGAAAGTGGATCGCTGATATGAGATGCTCTTAGACAGGGAATTGTTATCAATCACAAATAGGAATGACACTGTCTGTGACCTACAAAATGAACCAAACAGACTTGTTACTCTTCTTCTGCCTGTCGCCATTCGGGTTCTTTCGGGTCCATGGAATAGCCTTTTACCCGTTTCAGTAAGTATATCTAGCTTATCAGATGAAATCTAGTCACCTGCTTTGCAGGTGACGGGTATCTATTTAGAGCGAGCAATGCTTCTAATTGAAGTTAAAAATCATTTGAAATACAAGGACAGAACGATATCACGGGAACGAACAAAAAGCAAGGCAAAATCGCGATGAGGGGACAAGTGCTCCCTGAGCAGGTTTGTGCCACCCTTATCGTATAGAAGAAGAAGTGAACGGAACAATCGCCATAAACAAGTGTTCAAGGCATGTTCATGCCAACGCTGGGAAGATATATCTTCAATCCCACTACTACGTAGGAACGAAGCAGCTTACGAGCTAGAGCACTTGGAGGTCGCCGTCGTCCAGCCAGTGAGACGGTTGGCGATATCAGAGGCGTAGCAAGAAGTGGCACCGGAGGCAAGATCAAGGTTGGTGGTCGACTGGAGGGAGTTTACACCAGAGTTGTAAAGTCTGGCGGCACGGTAGTAGGCCGCAACACCAGTCCGATCGGCCAAGTCCAGGTAAGAAGCGAGGCCATAACCACCACTGGCGGAAGTTCCAATAGCTGAAGTAGGGAGGTGTGATGTTAGAAACTGCAGGTCACGCAAGGATAATTCCAAGGTTTATAACGTACCTCCATCGCGGATCATCTGGACGATCTCCGAGTCGGAGCAGGTGCTCTTCCCATAGCAAGTACCCGTACCCTCGTAACTCTGCATGAGGCCAGGGTTGCTTACACTGTTGGCGGTAGTCGGGACCCGGACACAGCCCTTGGATTCCTGCAGAACCACGGCCAGAATGAAGCGATGGTCGACCATGGACTCCTCAGCGACCTTCTCAATGGCACTCTTAATGTTTGCGGTCTCGGTTGCTGAGTTGTCCTGGCCCCAGCCATTGTTGCTGCAGGAATTGGCAATGACAGCATCCTCGTTGGCCTCCCACCTATAGTAGTGATGGGTTAGTATAACGGGTGCTTTGGAAGTAAGCCCGAAAGGGGGGCCTCAAGCATACATCGCATCGAAGGAAAGCCAGTCGGACTTGGCGGGCCATCCATCAGCCGTCGAACCATCGCCGGTGTACATGGTGTAAGAGTTCGAGCCGGAGCTCTTGCCAACACTGTCGTTGATACTAGTGACAGCCAATGCGCTGACGCTCACCACTGCGTTGGTGGAACGGGAGGCCAACTGCTCTCCCTCCTCGACCTCCAGGGTCCGAGTTCCCAACGGAGCGGCGGCGGCGATGCCGGCAAGGGAGCCGACAGCAAGGTACTGTAGGACGGATGTTAGTACTCTGTTGCTGAGAGCCGAATATGTGCAGGATGGCTGCTTACGTTGAAGAACTGAGTGAAACGCATCTTGGTAGAAAGGTATTGTAAGTAGAAATTGGTTGATGAGTAGGACAAATGCTAATGATTGTGTGCTCTGCAAGGAGTGTATGTGATTGAAGGAATGTGATGAAGCTAGTCAATAGCTTCTGTATAAACTTGAAAAAAGTGAAAAAAAAAGGAAGGACTGTCGAAACCGACTTGATACTGTGAAAATGCTCTGCTTGGATAGAGTCATTCTGGAGCAGCGCACTCGCGCTCTTTATACAAGCTGGCGGTATGGCATCTCTTCAGCCCCTCTCAGGAACAGAAGGTGTGAAGGATTGTGAGCGGCCCCAATTTGCAGGAGGTGCTCCAAGGCATCGTTGGTTGGATACTACTTGTGAACGGTGGGCTGAGTGACTTGAGGGGTCCGAGCAAATCAGCGATGATAGTCGGTCATCACCAACGGCCCGCTAATTTAGCTGCCAATCGGGGCTGACGTGTGACTGTACGAAATGAAGGATATTGCCATCACGTCTATCCGATTCTGCCCTCAGGATGCATCTGAGAGGTCCGTCCAACATGTTGAAGATGCGGAAACCTAAGATCGTGCGGCACTACGCCGACACCAGCCCACCGGGGGTATAATCCCAGACCAGTAGGATGGATAATCCTCCCTCCATGATAGAGACTAGCGCAAGAAAAAAGCCCGAGGAGCCATGTGCGTAAGGCCGACAGAGCCAAGCTCAGCGAGCATCCGTGTTGGCCGAGCCCATGAGAGCCATCATTGGGAGAAGTCTCCACCCCGCGGCTGTCGCAGGTTCAGGCGTGAGGAACCAGTGAGGAGGATGAACTGGCCAACGTTAGGTTTTGCATGGGCCACCGCGCGTCGGAAAGAGGAACCGAGAGCACACGGCGCCTGTGCCAAATAGCATCATTGACTGGAGGGGGACACGTCCAATGTGTGAGTTGACTGAGTTCAGGCAGACACGTTCGGGCTGAGGCCGAACTAGTGCGGGGCCGAAATCTCCATCGATTTGTGATTTTCCATCTTCACCGAGACAAACACACACACACTGACTGCCAGAACTATTCTGCTAAGGACGCACTCTCAAAAAAAAAAAAAAAAAAAAAAAAAAAGTCATCCCGTATACACTCAAGCCTTTACTGTGTTGTGTTTACCTCGTCTAGTGACTGCGCATCCACGCCCTCTCGGAGACTCGAGAGTTACACACATGCCAGCAGCCCTAAGGCACACAAAGATTCCCCGAGAAACTTTGTAGAATAGTCATGTAGTGCAGTGGAAATGCCCCTATTCAGCATTGGCACTGTGTAAGGCACTGTGTGACGGAAGGGGCCGGTTTCAGCTTCCAGGGATTGAGTTTGTGTTTCAGATGGTGGCTGTGGCGATCCAATCTGGGGGCAGAGAACCAACATCTCGGCTTCCCGTTCCTGCGTAGTTTATTCTCCGGGCGCCTCGATCGCTCATGGGAAGCTGACATTGGCAGATGGCGGATCCGGCCAAGCGCTGTGGCGGAGGGTGGGGTCTGACGCTGCTGGACATGAGCGAGCATGCCAGCCGAACTCGTCCTTAGCGAGACAGGCTAGTCTAGCAGACTTTCCCTTGGCGTCGGATCAGAAGCTATCCAGATGTTACCCCCCTTTCAGTTTCTCATCACACTGCTGGTATCCTTTCCATCTCTAACCCTGCCATAATAGTCGTATAGAATATATCCTTTCAGGCCAGAAACTTTATTACCCATGTGTTTTTACAGCCCCGACCTATGCGGATTGCTGTTCCGAGAGGTCCTAGCCACACCTCAACTGGAGATGTTGGCATTTGACTACCCATTCTCTCTGCAACATCGCAAGTTGAAAGCCAAGTACTACTTGACAAATAGACATACATGAGGAGTTTAATTCCGCCTCACTGCCTCAAAGGATGATGTAGACACTGCTCTGGCCCGGTGCAGGTTCGGCCCCCAACTCTGACTCCATCCCGTTGGGGGTGTTCGTCATGACATGAAGATGCAATGCAGGTACCGTTCGTCAGACACGGAACAACCTACTATATCTCTCGGAGCTGGTGTCCCGGTGATTTCTTTGACATGGGAGACTTTTATCGGGACAATCACTCTACCTCGGTCACCCAGACCAAATCATCCACATCGGTCATGTTCTGGGTCACACCACTCCAATTTACCAGCCCAGTATTTCACGAGGTTCCCGCAGTTGGCATCTGCTGATGTTGCAGTGACATCCCCAGGGTTCGGGCTCTTGACAAAAGCTCCACCCAACACAGCAGGATCAACCCCTTGTGGCTATGTCGGCCCCCGTCAATTTGTCATATAGCTTCAATTCTCTTAGGGGGTATTTTATTTTCAACTCGCTTGACAACAAGCTCTTGCGACAAACTGTCCACCCCTTCGATTGACAACCCATTCCAAATGGCCTAGCAACTTTTTCTTTCCAATTTATGTTTTTGGGCTTTCCTGTTGGCACTTGCAGCAAGCATTGCAGCTATATAGATAGAGCGTGGAAAGAACTGTTCGGCACTGAGGGACGATGAGAGCGCCATAGAGGCATGGTATGTGTACTATGTCGTATCGCACAATGGAGTAGGCATGACAGTGAAGATTACACGCTTGAGTTGACATGCGTAAATCTTCTAGACCTTTTGCCAAAGCAAGTCTGCCCTGTTTCTACCAAGAATTGGGAACATTATGCTAAGCTCCACGGGCTACCAACTGGCTTGATAAGAGTACTAACAGAGGCATTCCAGGCTCAGAGAAGCGTTCTTGCTGACCGAAGTTGTGTTACTAACGCACCTCACATAGAAACGAACCTGCATGACGAAACACGATCTCTCTTCGAAACGCAACGACAGGTTGGTCTCGTGGAAACATCGAAGGAATGAATCTGGCTGGGACCTCAACTCCTTGAGAGAGCCTTCGGTCCCATGCTTTCCCCGGCATCATATTGTGTGACAACGCACCGATGAGATGAAAGCCATCTCTACTCGAAACCCCTCGAAATATCTTTCCCGGCTCCAAAACCCAGACTATAACATGCTGTCCGACTATTAGACACCCTATCCCGAGGTGAATTTGCCCACCGTTTCTTTCAGAGTATGAATGGACTACGTGCATCCCTGCCTATCCGTTGGTGGAAGCTCGGACCACATACACAAACCAATGGAGCAACACAAGAGCAAGTGGCACAATATGTGCCTAGCGCCGTCTCGATGGATTCAGCATGTCCACGACCTGTCAAGATGGGAGTTCGTCTTGTTGCCCTGTCAAGCTGACAGAATATTCTTTGTTATACCACCACAGATAGACAACTAGTTCATATACAATGATTGCCTAAGTGCAAATGTTCCTTGACCAAGCCAAACGATTTTCATAACCATGAGCAGTGAAAGGCCGATACCGGATAAAGCTCCCCTAACCCAGGCCTGCAGGCAATCCGCTCTAGCATGGGCACAGTCGCTAAATTAACAGGGAGTGACCGTGTGTTATAAGGAAAAGTTTTAATGGTCATGAGGTGGGTGGAGTGAATGCTGACGGACGCCAGCCCGTGATCCTTCTACCTCTGACTTCAACAAATGAGAGGATCAGTTCCCTAGTCTAGCCAGTCAAACAGGACCCACTACACCCTGGTGGCTTTACACAATGCTGTAGTGCTGCCAGGAAACCTGAAAAACTTTCGATTGCAGTCTCCACATGACACATTTGCTTAGCAAACTTCTCTTTTCAATATAGGTCTAAGATGACCCCGATTGATAGCACTGAAGTTCTGACAGCCGCTCAGCCTCGCGAGACGCACGAGCAATGGCCTACCACTTCGCCTGTATATTATGTAGGCTCTCCCAGAGTTGGTGCAACTCAAAACCATCCTTTTCCTCTATCCAAGATTTAGTATCGGATTGACCACAGTACAGCTTGACCATGGCCGAGTCTGATACCGTTGTCTCTGTCGCAAGTGACCCTGCGTCATCCAATGCAAATAAAGACCTCAAGGCGAACGACGAAAAGATTGGAATTACCTCTCATTGGATTTTCGTAATTTGGAGCTGGTTTCTACTCACCATTCCCCTCTCATCACTGACAGCTGTCTTCCTCGCACTGGTCTTTAGCTACCGGGTTGGACATGGAGACTCTCCTTTTGAGAATCTCCGCGTGGGCCTCGCGACAGAAGGTTCATCAGATGCGTACTACGTGAATATGAACTCGAGTATCCTTCTATTTGTGACCTCATGGGCTAGTACCTTGGCTCCTATGCTGTCGGGCTTTCTCATCACGCTTGCATCGTTTCCCATCGCGAGAAGGTACCTCCAGGACATACAACAAGGACGTTTTGAACGGCTGCCTACCCCATACCAACTGACGCTCATGCTCAAGTTCTTTGACGGGGGCACTCTCGGAGCAACCTGGAGCTGGATTGTTTACCTCGTCTCGTGGAAAAAGAAGCGGCAGCCTCAGACTTCCACGCTGTTCTCAGCCGCTTCTGTGGCTTTGCTAGCGACATTACTTGGGTATGTACATAGAGCTAATGCACGCACCTCCATCATTTGATCTGTACATTGTCTGATATGTCCCAAATCAGGGCGTTGGTTTCCTTGGCAGATACCTGGCTCCACTTGACTACGACGACAGTCTCGTTCACTCGCGCCACTGCCGCCACGAACAATACCGACTACAGCTTTGGCCTGACCCCCCAGTGCTTGAAAGGCAACAATTCGGTCGCAGCACAGGAAGATACTGGCCTATGTAGTGTCTCGATGGCTGTCACGGGCCAGTTCCTGGCAAATGCAACCGTCAGTCTCGGCGTGCTTAATAACGTCTCTGATTTTGCGACCGTGTACACCTACGAGAACAACAGCACGATGTACAGCTACCTAGGAATACCAGAGGGCACGGCCTCCGTGACCGACCGGGATTACGAAGCTCAAACATATGGTGCTGCGACACAGTGCGAGATGTTCTCCAAAAGATGCAACCTGACCGAAGTGACGACCTCTCTCCGATACAATTGCTCGAGTGCCTTTGCCGGCTTCATCGACTCCACCGAATTGATTACGGGCTTTTTTACAGACTCCAGTATGACAACTGACATAGAAGACAACGAGACTTCCAACTATGGCACAGGAAACCCGTTCTACTACGTCATCGCCGGCGTACTAGGTACCTCTGGCGGGACCGTCCCCAATTCGACAGAGTTCGTGCAGAATGAGTCGGGCGTGTATGGCTACGTTCTTGGCTGCAACACCACGATTTACGACATCGTGTACGACCGAGTCAACAATTCCGTGACCCGCTTCGTACCCACCGACAGCAACACATCGGTATCCAACATCTGGCAAACGAGTATCGCGCAGACCGTCGACTGGGAACCGTCCATTGAGCTGGAAATCGGGGCAGCCGCGTTCAGCCAAACGGGCCAGGAGTTCGCAGACAAGATTGCACAGTCATTTAGCAAGGTGATCTTGGCCCTTGGAGCAGATGGGGTTGAATCGCGCCCAGCACTAGCAGCGCAGCAGAGGGAGACTTCCCTTGTATCGCGGGTTCCCATGGCTCCACTCTTCACCCTGGTTGCCGTGAACTTCTTGTATGTCATCGTGGGCCTTATCTTCGCGGGAATCGCTATCAGAACCGCCAAGGGAGCGGTCCCTGATGTTCATGCTCGGCTTGGAATCTCGGGTCTTGTAGCAGATCGGTTTGAGGAACCCGGATCGCGCAAGGAGGTTCATTCTGTTGATGAAATGTTCGAAGAGTATGCTGGACATCCGAGCCGACGGGTGGCTGTGGAGCCGGAGAATGAGGATGAAGTGTACGTATTCAAGAGTTGGGATACATCTAGATCGAGTTCGGTGGAAGTGAGGGAAGGCTCTGTAGCGGTTGAGAGATCTGGGTTGCTTGGTGGTGAGAGTGCTTGATGATTTGACCATCCGCCATAGACATAGACAATCTGAGTATAGTGACGGCAATAATTATTAATTAGCTGACTTTGTTTCTGTCGGTCTTTCTCCGGTTCGCCTACACTAGACAACAAATCCAAGGTCAATTTCATAAGTCCAACCTCCATCGCTACAAGATGTCCAAAACCCAAAAATGCGTCCTAGATGACTCTACTATCGGCTACACCCGTCTACCCGTCCCTTTCGATTTATACCCAGATGATTGGTGCTCTCGGTTATTCAACCACCCGAAGGAGTTCCACGGCGCATCTTTTGGCCCCTAACCCCCAGGACTCAGCGAATCATAACAGTTTAGAATCCGTCAGGATCACACCAAGCCTCATCGATCCGCCTATCATGTGAGGCTCAGCCGCTTTCTCGAATTCAAGGCAGCTGAATGCTTCCCTGGTGGTCTATGATAGCACTCTTCTATAACATTTCTTTCCATAAATGCTCCATTCAGCGGTCAATGTGCGATTTTGTGGAGACACGTCGAAAGTAGGGGTCCTGCAAGGCTGAGGCTAGAAGCTGGGCCTTGTATTCTGGTGGGATGATGTTGGAGAGAAGCGGGTAGTAGTATATGTAGAGTTAGCTGAAGGGGGAAGTGTGTTATGTTTCTTGTTATAGTGAGGTTGTGGAACACTGTTTCGGTGGCCACTGTTATGGGTTATGTTTCAGAGCAGAGTTTTTCTTACCCACCGCAGATGTCTTATAAGATGCTTAAACTTGCTTATCGGCGTGAAGCAGTTACACGTCAGAAATTATCATTTTTGGCCTGATTTACTACGTTGAGACCTTGCCATATGCAGTTTGACGGTTGTAAGGGAGTATCTCTGGTTTGTGAGGATCTCAGTGAGTTGTACAAATCTGGTTCTCACGTGGGCCTGTTTCCTTTTTGAGTGGTCCCACATACCAGGCTTTCCCAAAACGGAAGAACCAAACAAACTCTGTTAGCTCAAACGGGAAAGCATAAGCTATCTTGAGAACCGTTGAAAAGAATTTGTCGATGTTGTTTCTAGAACAACCATGCAATGCATACTGTACAATATATGCACTCATCAGTACAGAACGATCTACAGAGGGTACGAAAGAAATGATGAGTGAGTGATTGTCGCTAGGCCATCCTAAGTCAGGTATCGGCCAAGGGGTGCCAGCCTCAATTGGATGATAATACATGGCAGATTGGGTAGGCCAGGCGCCAAGACATCAAAAGGGCAGCGACGTAGGATTGAGAGTACATGTTCGTTGATGCGTTCAGTGTATTTTATGGGCGACGAGCCATGCGAAACGTAGTATGGCGAACCAGTTGAAAAATGCTATGGCAACAGACATGCAAACTTTGTCGAGGACGATAACAGAGGTATAAGAGAACCGAACCCACTTGAACTCCAGAGACCGGATAAAAAAGAGAAACTGAAAGAAGGCCGATGGAAAGCAACGGAGCAAGAGAGAAAGAGCTGGAGGTCGGGGTGGGAGGAGGAAAATGGGAGAGAAGTAGAGCTAGAGAGGTAGGGAGAGAGAGAGAGAGAGAGAGAGAGAAGGAAGAATAGGTCCAGCCCTGGTAGCACAACTTCGAGAATGGTTGCCGATGATGCTGCAGATCATCCGAGGTCATGCATCATTCCAGTCTCGTACCGCCGCGGCTTCTTTGGCATCTCGCTTTTTGTTGCGCCAAAGGAAATAGCAGCATACAGAGACTGCGATTAGGAAGAATCTAGGGACCGTTGTTAGCATGTCCAAGGTCGCAGGCGAAGAAGCCACGCAGTACTCACATGCCAACGATGATGCCTGGCACGCCGCTCTTGAGGAAGTTACTGACGGGCTTCTCGCCAGACGAGGAATCTGAGTCGTCGCGAGCCCACAGAGGCATCGCAATAGCGACTGCTCGCCGGGAGAGAGAGAACGCTTGGGATGATTCCATTGGGGGGACCTGATATGCAAGTTCCGGGGAACGGGCAGAGCCGTAGGGAAGAGACGGGGAAGGGGAAGATAGAAAAGGGGACGCGAGGGTCGCCTTCTGAATCGAACCTGCTCTCTGGCGCCCTCAAAAGGGGATAAGACATTGCC